CCAGACGATTTGCGAATCAGACGGCACGAAGATCACCAACCTTCACAGGCGATTGGGTCGCTGGGCACAGCATTTCGCTCTACAATTCAACCACCCAACTCAGCCCCATCTGACACCAGCCCCAATCTATGATGCTTGGCCTATGTCCCCAGACCCCCCCCCCCCCCCCCCCAAATGAAGCAGAGATTCAAAATGCAATCCAATCTTTAAACGCCACAAGGCTCCTGGTCCCGACAGCTTACCACCAGCTCTATTCAAAGATGGCGGGAGTGTACTTGGCAGCGGAATCCTATCGCTGTTCACGAAAGTTTGGACTGAGGAGAAGGTCCCGAACTCATGGGGAGAATCGGTTATTGTTCCGATTCACAAGAAGGGCTCCAGTGCCGATTGCTGCAACTACCGCGGAATCTCGTTACTCTCTGTCGCATCCAAAATCTTCGTGTCGGTCCTACTTCGCAGGCTTTCAACGACTAGAGAGGAGTTTTCCCGAGAAGAACAAGCCGGATTTCGTCCAGGCCGCGGCTGCATCGACCAAATATCCACGCTTCGGCAAGTTCTCGAACTTCGTCACATTCATCGGCGGTCAACAATCGTAGTGTTTTTGGACATCCGAGCGGCATTTGATTCAATACATGGATCTGCGTTTTGGAACAGTTTACTGAAGAAAGGTGTGCCCGATAAGCTTGTAACTATCCTGAAAGAGCTTTACAGTTACACGTCGGGCAAAGTCAGGGCCTACGGCACGCACTCCTCATTTGCTGTGATCAGCGGTGTTCGCCAAGATTGCCCTTTTTCACCTTTCCTCTTCAATTTCGCGATCGAAGATGTTCGCCAAAGGGTACTGGAAGGTGTCCAGGATTGCGGTGTTGAGCTCCTCCCTGGAGACAGAGTCACGGACTTGGACTACGCCGATAATATCGTCTTGCTGGGGGACGACCCAAAACCCGTCTAGAACGCTTTGGACCGCTTGGCAATGGAGCGTCTAGGTACGGCTTATGCTTCACTCCGGGAAAATGTAAAATGCTGCTCCAGGACTGGAAGGTGCCTGAACACGTACTCACCATTGCTTGACATGTTCTGGAGGAAATCCCTTGCTTTACTTATCTAGAGAGTTGCATCACGGCTGGTGGCGGTGTTGGAGATGAAGTCTCACAACGGATTGCAAAGGCCCGCCTTGCATTCATCAAACTGAGACACCTATGGCCTCGTCGTGATGTCAGTCTCAAGCTCAAGGGCAAGGTATACTATGCTTCCGTCCGTGCAGTACTCTTGTACGGCTGTGAGACTTGGCCTATTCGCTCGGAAGAGATGAAGCGGTTGTGAGTCTTCGACAATCGCTGTCAACGAAGGATTGCTCAGGTGTGATAACAACACCATGTAAGCAACGCAGAGGTCCGAGACCGAGTGCTTGGGGCGAGTAATGACAGTCTGCAGAACGTTATTCTCCGAGATCGTATGCGTTGGCTCGGGCACCTTCTGCGCATGCCAGCCCATTGCCTTCCACGTCGAACGCTATTCGCGCTCCCAGGGAGCGATTGGAAAAAGTGCTGCGGTGGACAGCCAATGACGTAGAGAAGGAGCATGAAGAAGGTAACCTCAAGTTTGGCGACAGTCGGACCAGTCCGACTTCCAGGTTGGGGGCTACGAGATGCTGAATCGCAGTGGTTGGAGATATTAGGCGTCATGGCCCGCAACAGACATCAGTGGCGTCAATGTTGTTCTGCCATTGTACCATCCCTTCGTTGTACATAAAACCTCACAAAAAATACAAAAAAATTAAAAATGGCGTGTGCAAAACCAAAAAAATCATTTCCCATATTTTAATCGCAGTTGGTGTTCCCATATATATATATATATATATATATATATATATATATATATATATATATATATATATATATATATATATATATATATATATATCTACATTAGTAGCACACCACACTAGGAACATGCCTGTTCAGGTGTGCCTCGCTGTCGAAAATAAGCTATTTATTCATTTAGTTAACTCTCTCCTACTTTGTCGCACGCATGCGAATCTTTACCAAACCCATGAATTGGATGGGTTATAACGACACCTTGCTATGAGTTCCTCTATCCATAGGAATGTCGTCCTACACCAACCGGTAAAGCAAAGCCGAATAACTAACAAGGTGTGGGCAGTGTGGTACTGGTCGTCCAACGTCCGACCTCGGTGTTCCCATCAGACCGATCGAAGCTGTCTGAACACCTCAACTCAAACACTTAATCGGCTCCAAAGACGGTTGCATACCGCAGTGGATGTTGGTATGGCCACCGAACACAATGTCAAAAAAAAATTTATTGTTTTTGGATTGCGAATATTTGCAACGAGATGAATTCAGAGCCGCGCAGTTCACGGAATCCGGAGGGGTGAAAGCTTGCGTATACTGAGATACGAAGTGTTCATTTGTTCTTCGAGCTTGGCGGTTTTGTCGCAAACGTTTCACCACCATGCGAGGTGGCATCCTCAGTGCAGTGATATGTAGCGTGCAAATGAACAATTGATTCATCAACCCGAGCTACCAGTATTTCGAAACATTTTAAGTACCGAGATACGGCCCGAATCAATATGAGTGCTTCGGAATTACAAGCAGTTGTGGGCATATGCGTATCAGTTAGAGCTGTGTCCTCACCTCCAGCTAAGGTGTCGATTAAATGATAGCTGAAAACGAACAGAAAATTCTGCGATCAGAGGGACATGTGTTTCATTGGGTAGCACATAAATTCACGCAAAAAGTCGTACTGTATACGTCTTCTAGTGATCGCGACGTTTTTGTCGGCGCATGGCTGCAGAAAATTCTCATCTATGTTACAAAGTTAGGCTCAATACGGCTTCCAAAGTAGTGTAAGTTGAACACTCAGGTCAACTGCAACGAGTAACACATTCTATATTTCAGTAATCTGAACTGGCAGTGACAGCTGTGTACTAGCATTTGGGCTACCGTCGACGAATATATATAACGAAGTGGCATAAAGACGTCACAATTTCAACTGATATCGTAGTTAAATCGCACACATGTGGCTTTGTATTGTTTTTTTTATGCGAACAGAGCAGAATTCGCACGCCCGCTGATAGCGACTTCAAGGCCGCAAATCCCACGGATCACAGGTTCGCTGTCACGGAAGAAGTCCTGTGTGTAAGTTGCGTCCAATGACCGAGAATGAAACGCTGTTGTCTCGCATATATGTCTCTGAGAACGATGCACACACAAACTAATTAAATGCACATCGGAACAAACGATGCATGGAGATTAAAAGATCTGATGTATAGTGGGATCGAGGGTAAACCAAATAAGATACCAATCTTTTTGACTGGTGGTGGGCTAGTACCAGCAAAACGGAAAAAATGACAAGGAGCAAGAAGAGAACAATTAAGAGACGGAGTCCTCGAGAATGACACAGTAGTGCCCCAAAAGATAAGGTTTATCTACTGTGCACAAATTTGTTGCTGAACGATTGTACACTATTCGTTTCGTTTCACCGCTCCCTATTCTCCGTCCATATTCGCTGGTACTCGTCTGTTCTGTGATAATGCACTGGCGCTCGCTCCAGTTCGCCCCATCCAGCCACGATATTTCCAGTCCCCCGCTCGAGAATAGTCCCCTGTGTTCGAGTTCATTTGCCTGCTGATAGTACTTCTTAATTACATATCCTGATCAGGACTGATTTGTAATAATGATATAACACGCTCCGGCTGCATAATACGGTTAGGCGTCTCCTTCATGGCTTCTATTCGTAAGCTTTGGCTCAAATACCTGAT